GCTGATTGGGAGGGACAAATGAATGGACCTCATCTTGGATTTGAGTAAATATGGTAATTCATGATCTTGCAAGGTCACTTTCAGCCCCTTACAACCTATGCGACTTCACCTAAAAAGTTTCCTTTTTTTGGTTTGAAAACTGCTAGGAAACACATACCATCCCTCTGTGGAACTGGCTGAGCTTTGGATTCAGGCTTTGTTTCATAGAAGTGGATAACCACAGGATAAACAGGAAGCTATTCCTGAATGTCACAGAAGATACACAAGTATCCAGCTTGACTTCAGGTTACCAAATAAAAAAAGAAAAAATAGCTGGGTATTTACCTTTCAAAACAACTCAAATTGAGCATCTAAAAATCACTACTCATTTAGTATACATGTGCACGTTTTGTATGCTTTTTCAAGTGGGCTGTTTCAAGTATCTTATACTAGGATACCAAACAACAGTTCCTTAAAGGCTTGGCAAAACAACATTTTATATAACTCTCATGTGGAATATGGAACGCTCTTCTGAGACAGAATATTTTATAGTTTTGTGGAAATTGGATGAATAGCTTCTAAAATGCTGCAAGAGTATATTGGCAAAATATGAAGCCTGTGTATTAAACTTACTTGAATTATTAAAGGACTTAAAAAAATTAATTACAAATTGGTGATTTCTCCTTTTTCACTAGTGCAAAAAGGAAAGTATAACGTGACCAAAGTAACTTAAGGTGATTTCACATGAGACTGTGTTTTCCTTATTTACAGCAAAATTCATAGGTAGGAAGATTGTATTTCACATTCCTTTAGTTAATGCTTGCCGAATTGTATTGATTATTCAATGAAAATGAAATCAGTTGTTTTAGAAGTGGTTTATAATACAGTCAGAACACTCACCTATGTAGACCCTCCTGCTGTATCTCTGCATCAACAACAGAACAAACACATGTAGAGGAATAAGATTGATGATGAAAACATAACCACCCCATGCAGAGACCTATTGGAAATGAAATTGTAAATTAGATCATTCAAATATGACTTCAAATATAAGATGGCCTGTTACAGAAATCCTAGTGTAGACCAGGCTTTATAAGCACGACATCAAAATGGGTCTCTTCAAAATGCGTTAGTTTAGTGTAGAAAAGGCAGCCTATATTTCCAAATATATCAAACTGTCAAGCTGAAGCTAAACTCCCCCCGACACCTAAGAATGTGTTAAGTGCAATGTGCCTTATCTATATTGGATCATACCAGGCAATACATTTTTAGACCTAGTTTTGAAAAAGGCTCAGATTCATGAATTTATTTTTAGAACCCCATGGTCAAAGCAACAAACTGAAATTATTTAGGCCAAACTTGGAAACAATTTTACTATAATCATAATGTACAGTAACTGTTTATTTTTTCTGGCACAGCTACCATAAAATCTGTGTTGTCCAGATGATAAGATTAAATACATTAAGACAATCTACAGTCAACAGGAAAGACATTTTGAAAGTCTGGAATATATTAAGATATGTTTTTACTGATGTACTATTTGGTTTATATGGAAGCATCACTATATTCACTATCAATTGTATTTGTTTTAAAACAAAGTGGAAGGGGATAAAAAGAAAATGCATGCATGTTTGAAGACTATAATAAGTAACCACAGAGTGAAGACTAGTATTGCCATGAACACATGCAATTTCATACTCAGTCTGTGCCTCTGTTGCCTGAAGGAACACAATTAACTCCAAATCCATTTATTTAGAGTCTAAATGCACCTCTTTTTGCCTGATCCTCTCTCAACTAATGAAAGCAGAACTTTCTAGAAGTCTAGCTAAGCTGCAGACGGGCAGGGGAACATGCTGTTAGACCAAATTACATCTCTTTCAGTGCATGACAATTTATACATACAAATCACCAGTGAAAGGCATATTGAACAGCGATGGTCAAATAAATGCTAACAGCATAATAGAGCATGAGTACAAAAATAAGCAAAAATTACTCATTTTGAAGAAAACTCTGCAGATCAAATTACTGCATCAGTGAGCTCCACATGCTATTGAACTTAATTAGAAGTTTTATGCATGTCCAAACCAGTTATTTTGCAACTATCGGCAGAACTTTTAAAGTCAATCCTGAAACACTTCTTTTTTTTTCCAAGTGAATTACTATTTCCTTGGCTTTCTCAAGGCAGAATGAAGCTTAAACCCCCAAACTACCACTCTATTATAAAGTTCTCAACTGATACTACAAAAAACACTGATTTTTACTAAAAAATATATTATGAGGGATACATTTATGTCAGGCTTCAATTACCTGGAATTTAAAATGTCCACAGCAAGTGAGGATCTCATTTCCAAGAGAAACGGGTGTATGAAAGTAAATCACCAAAGGAATAATGCAAGGAAACTACCTATAGATGGATCATCTTTATCTTTACTATTAATCCAACATCAAATTTTAACCCTTACCTAACTGAAAATGCCCTTAAAACCAAGGAAAAAAGCAGCAACAGTCAAATTAACTCAACCTTAATAGTCCAATAGTTTTAGAACAGTCTTTCTAATATTACACATACAAGTCCTACATTTTGGGGAGAATGGGGAGGATCCATGAGGAAAATCCATTACTTCTACTTTTGCCTTCCTTTCAACATAGTCTGATTTCACCACCTCCACAAGATTGTACAAACTAAGATGTTACTCAGTGGGACGCTGCAGACAGTTACTTTCAACAGTAAAAGTGCCTCCCTGTTATATTTACCTGCTCATGAAACTCACTCATTTTAAGGGTCTGATTAGACTATGTGGGTGGTAACAGAAAAGGTTATGCTATGCTAGTATAACAACCCCAACCCTTGTGTTTTTGTTTTTTTTCAGATTTCATATATAGCATACCTTGAAACTAGCAGGTTTACAAACACCTTGTATAATGTAAAGCTGCTTTGGAAGGCAAGATTTCATAGAAAGATGTGTGTTCAATTAATGTACTTACCAGAACAATAATATCATGTACTGTTAACTTGCTTTTAGACGAGTGGTAGCCAACCTTTTTGCCCAGTGGGCTGGATGAACAGTACCTAGTCTGTCTGCAGGCTGGATCCAGCTGGTGGTTCCAAACCAGTGTGTGGGGCAGGTGTGGCAGGTCTCATCTGGCCATGTGAAGGGGAGCAGGGGGCAGTCCAGCCACAACACAGCCCTGCAGGAGAAAAGGGCCCGTGGCTCAGCCCCAGCCTGCTGTGTGGAGGGAGGGAGTGTGGCTTGGCCCTGATCAACCATGTAGGGCTTGGGCTTGGGGATTTTGGTAGCGAGGGAGAGTGGCTTAGTGGAACACATCTGGCCTATGGACCAGAGGTTGAGCACATCTCTGTTTTAGACCATTTAAACAGCATCCAACACTTCAAAATTAATATACAAACTTCAGTCTGCCCTGTAACTTGTGTATTCTTTAGCTTAAAAATATATGGTTCTCTGATCAGGGACTTTCTTGTCAGCTTGCCCACCTATGGCATGGGACACCATGGTTGAGTTGCTTGAATCAGATTTTTAAACCAAGTTTTCTACCTTCCAGGTGAATTTCCTGAACATGTGACAACTAGCTATTCTGCAGTGGGAGGTGGGGAAGGGCTCCCCTTCTGCTTTTTTGCTACAAATTTTAGAAGGGCCCTTGTTTCATTCTGATGTGGAATGGTGACATTTTTCAACTCTTAAAGTACCATGGGACAATCTCTCCTTCAGTTTTACTTTGGATCCCATCCCCATCAATTCTTAATAATATTGTTGCAGAAACTCTTGTTTTTTCAAAGAAAGACCAGAGGAGACCTTTATGATCAAGCAGTCTGACCTCCTGTATGACATAAGTAACTGAATTCAATAAAAAAAATTCTGAAATTAAACGTAACAACCTTCAGTTGAAGTAGAGCAAGTCTTTCAGACAGACATCCCATTTTGATTTAAAGATCTTAAGTAATAGAAGAGCTATACTCCATTTGTTAAACTGTACTAACAGTTGATTATTCTCCCTTTGAAAATCAAATCCACATTTCTACCTTAATTTTTCCAACTTGAATATCCAACTGTTGAACCTTATTGTGCCTCTATTATGCTGATGAGCCCCTTGGCAGCTGCTTCCATGCCAACTGCTCGGAGGGGATGATTAAAGTAACTTCTTCACCCTTTCTTCAATAAACTATATGGATTTCTCTGTACCTTCCCAGATGCTATTTGTGTATGATCCACCAATTCACTCATTGAAGTCATCTCTCCTACTGCCAGATTATTTTCCCACCCAACATCACCCCAAATATCTTTACTGAACATATTCTCCCCAACTACAAAAAATCTAAATTGCAAAATTCATGGTGAACTCAAGGGAAAAATCTGTTTATCCAGACTCTCATATCTGCTCTCTTCTGTGACATTTTCATATTATCAGGAACAGATTTCAATTTCATCCACACACACAATCAAAATCCTGCCTCTCTGCAACTGGACTGAACAGCAACTCCAATCAGAACTACTCTCTTGATATCAAGTCTGAGAATTTATCTAATTTATTTTAGACTGTTTTTCTAAGGGAATTTCACTAGGGAAGTGTACTTTTTATAACTATACCCTTCAAAAGTACTGTCAGTTCTCAGAAGTTGCTTGTGTATTTAATACATTAGTACCAAACGATTCTGATATAACCTGAAGGCTTCCAATGAGAATTTAATCTCCACAGTTCTTAGCTCTATAGACAAAAAGACCTATCTTGTCAAATACATTTAGCTCACGTACACATAAAAGGCTTACCATATAAAAGTAGGATAAACAGCAGCAGATTGTCCAAAAGACCGACCCGGTTTTCACAGATTTCACCTTTTAAAAAAGCAGGCATTGATCAGTTATAGAAATATTATTTTCAACAATTAAATTGGCTCTATAATTCTTTTTTTCAGAAAAGCTAAAAAGATCAGCTATATAGAAACCATGGGTAATACAACTACTAATCAAAAAAAAAAAAAATCAGCTCATACTGATTTGCCTACAGCTTGAAACTCAATGATGTATTTCAGAGATTCTCTCTCTCTATAAAATAAGGATGCAATTCCTGTGCAAATGATGCAAGCAACTGAAGCAGTCTATACTCAACTTCTCATTCCATCTGGTGCTAGGATAGTAAAGTACTTCAACTTCTGAGGCAGAACAGTACTTAATATTAACACAACATACTACTATATTAGGTACTTCTACCTTTGAGGCAGAAGAGTACTTTCAGTACTTTACTATGAGTACTTTACAGCACCTTTTGGATAGGGTGCCACTTGATTGCTGTAAATGTGGATTTATAGGTTCTCCTTGGACTACTGCCCATTAACTTCCTACCTGCATACTTTTTTTTCAGCCTTTGTAATCAATTTTGGGCAATGTGCTATTGTAACCCAAAAACCAATGGCTGGGGAGTGGGGTGCGGGGGCAGGAAACAAAAAACACACCTTAAAAGGCTAATGGGAATGTGCAGCTATCACTGAAAACACTGAAGATGCATTTGAATTCAGTAGGGTTCCATAAACAGGGCTGAGGGTCTGATTTGACCTGATGATGTGCTAGGTGGAAAGAATCCAAATGCACTTTGAAAACGAGGAGAATGCACTAGTCAAAGGAGGGCAGAGATGCACCTTATAGACAGAGATCTACCTAAGTCATAGTGAGCAAAAGGGATTTTTGCAGGCTGCTCATGGCGCACAGAGCCAATATCACAGCTTTTTCATGGCAAACCTGCTGCTTGCCACTGACTGGCAGAGAGACAGGCCCACATAACAAGCAGCTCTCTGAGCCAGTAAGAGGTGGGGAAAGAAGGGGGCTACCACCATCTTGCCTGCTCCCCTTCCTGCTGGTGATCTGCCCCAGCAGGCTGCAAGGCCAGGCTATAGCAGCCATGAGGACTGCTATCTCCCACTGGGGAGCCAGCAATTTAATTTTAGTAAGTTGGGTTGTTATGTGTGTTTTATTTTGTGGACAATGACTTTTTTGTGGTTCCCGTAAAATCTGCAAAACTGCAAATTAAGTAGGTCCCTACTTGCAGACTAAATCAGAGATCCATAAGCTTTTGTGAGCCTGAGCTTACTGCACTTCATCAGATACGGTGAAAGGACATGTTGATCAGTTAGTTAGAATTTTTTTTTTTAAATGAATTACAAGAGTGATTTAAGCTGGGCCTGGAACAGAAAAAAACTGGAATACATTACACTGTCCATCACCTTCCTGCCCCCTCACCCCGCAAATGTTGCTATACCTGGCAAAACTGCCATTTGAAGTGTTTTTGAAGAGCCTCCCCATTGCTATTATAAAAGAGGTTAAATTTATTTACAAAAAACTAATAACTAAGTTTTTACTCATCAAGTTGTCCATTTTTACAGGTTACCTTCCAAAATCTCTTTAAATACAATAACTTACAGAAATACCCCAAAAACAAACGTCTAACATAAAAGTTACATATGCAACTGGAACCTCTTAAAATAAGTGGCTATGTGTAAAGTGGTTGATAAAAATGTAGAGAGAAAATCTGGATTTTTGTGTATACTGATTTAATTTTTAACTTGCACTTTTAAGTAAAATCTATTTATGGTGCTTTTAAAAAAGACTAATTTTCTATAATTTCAAAATTATGAGGACAACTCATGTTAAGGCCTAAAACTTGTATTCCAATAAAAAAACCCTCAAAACAATTAAGCAGAACATTTGCTGTCAAACTTTTAAAGAAGGCAAAACAATGGAACTGGTGAAGTCACTTAGCACAGCAAATGGATTGTTCAGGTGCTTAAGTGCTAGCTGGGTTTTAATACCAGTAACCTCTTCTGTAGGTACAGAGAGAATTTCTTCTTTATTTTAGTTTATTTAGCAAATTTAGTTCAATGATTAGCTTGTTCAAAATTTAAGAAGTTGACTGGGAATTAGAAAAAACAGGGAAACTTATTTTTATCTTCTAGTCTCTGGTTTAAAATGAAGTATGATATTCACTAGTTCTAAAATCCTGAAGGAACTGGCATTCAAAAACAAGATCAGTACAACTAACTGCTTGTAATTTAATAAGTAACTTAAAAACAAAACATTTTGAAAAGGTTATTTTTTCCACGTGTATCCACACATTTAAGGTGGTTTAAATAAAAACAACTTTCAAAACATTATTTTCTGCATTTAATAACATCGATTTTTCATCCACATATAGCTTGATAGAGAGGAATAAAAAAAATTAATCATTTAGTAAAAAATAAACACACCATTCACTATTTTCAAAGATAATAAAAAATGTAAAAAATAAGAATATGAATAAGTTGATGTTAAGCTATACATTCTTAAGTTTGTTTAGATAAAATATGCCCTTCAAATTGGTAAATATTTGACAAATTTAGAATATTTTTAATGATAAAAGACCATATTCAAATCAAATCTTTTCTAGGTAAATGACAAAAATTACAAATGCAAAACATATAGTGGGACTATTCAAAGAACAGCTGAGATACTACCTTTTAACATTTTTGTAGCCATCTGTAACACCTCTTGGCAAATTCTTTTAGGTTTTGAAGAAGAAAAAAAGGTCCTGTATTTTTTTTATAACACATTAGACCAATGGGGAGCAACCATTTCTGGCACCAGGCTGGAATGGCCAAGCTCAGGTCCAAGGTGGGCCAGTGCCAAGGATCAGCCACTGCTGCAACTTCTCTTTGCTGTTGCAGGGCACGGGACAGCTCTCTGCCCAGCTGCAAAGGCAAGATGTAAGCAAAGCCCCAGCTATTGAATGTTGCTGAGGGTCTAGTTCTGCAGGCCTGATCTAATGGCTTCACAGGCAATCTGGTTTGTGGGCCATAGGTTGCTGACTCCTGCATTAGCCCTGAATTATGAACTAGCACTGCTTTTTCAATTCAGTCAATACTTTCATTTTTTTAAAAATGAAATCCTTATTTAGCTTGATAATTATATTGTGCTCTGATATTAAGTTTAAGATTTTCAACATTCTGTACATTTTTGTACTAATGAGTCAGTATACTGTTTTGGAGAATGTTAGAGATTTTAGCAGCAAATAAACAAATGGTGATTGTACTCAAAGGTGCAAGACCTAGTTTTATCTTCTAATACAGTATTGGAGAAGGGAAAGCATCTTTCTAATTCCCTCTTCTTTCTAAGATGGGTAAAATTGATTTTAAATTTGTCAAGAGACAAATCTGAATTCCTTGTTCCCTACCCCAGCAATGGCTGGAAATAAACAATTCTCAGCTGCAGCCCATCATAGTCTACTACAGCCCAGGGTAACAAAAAAATATTGGTGCACTGTTTCTACTACAATGGAACTGAATAGCTATTCTGAAATAAAGCCACTTCATCCCCAATACTGTTCACACTTATGCAGCAGCATACTTTTTCTACTATAAGTATGCTAGAAAATTTTTTTACACAGACAAATCCGTATTATCAAGATTTAAACTGTAATTAGAGTTCAAAAGTTGACACTTCTTAAAGTTTAATGGGATCAATTTACACCTCAGAGCACTATTGTTTCTGGTTGGCTGTGTATGCAGGTAGTGATCATTACAATCAATTTATTCCCATTCAAATTCTGAAGACTGGTGAGAGCTAGAAGCTTTTTTAAAAAATGAAATCCTTATAGGAATCCTAAAGCTGTTACAAGTTTGTATAATTTGCAATCCACACAGATCTTAGTTATCTATTCTATAGTAATTTATATTTAACTCTGCTCATAGCTTAACTACTTCTAAGTAACAATACAAGTCAATTTAGTTTAACCATGACAAAAGAGAAAATTTACCACTGCAAATTTATTTTGGATTAGCAGACACTGACTCATAACTAAGACTGTCTCTGCTTTGGTTCCTGTCTCTCCAGTTCACTCACAGTTGGCCAAGAATCAGGAAAAATGTTGATAATCCACATTACCCTCTTCCCATCACATTGCAACCCAAGTTTCAAATGTCGTATACCTAGAAAACCTTGTAAAACTATATTAAACATCTATTTAAGGAGATGAATAAAAATAGGGAAGGTAATTAAATAAAAATATCCAGTTTTTTCCAATTATAAATATGTACTTGCTAATGTTAGTACCAATGGGAATTCTGTTTTGCCCTTCTGCTGATATAGAGTTTGGTTATGGGCATTTGCAAACAAAGAAAAGAAAAATACAGCAACAGAATTGTATAATTACATTCCCGGATACCAATCTAAAAGTGACCAGAAGCGTCTGTCAACCCTAGAGTGCATAATAAAACAGACAAATGTAACCAATAAAGATCCATTAACAGATACCAGAGTTCTCATAACAAATTATTAACTTGATTCCAAAAGAGCACATTTACCAAAAACCTTTGCTAACAGACATGGAAACCAAACAAAACAGTGCTATACAGGAAGAGGAATAGCATCAGTTTGACCTGGCAACCCAAGCATCTGGATAGCTTGCACGCTTCAGTGGGGCTTTTTGGTGCTTTTATTTAATAGCTGACTGAATCTAAATTTTCTATGCTTCCCAGAAGCAGGCTCCTGGAGCTAGGAGCCCCCACTGATGTGGCTCCCAGCTGTAGGGGTGCCCCAGACAACCCCACTGCAGCTGCTGTGATCTCCCAGCTGTGGGACACCTCATGCACCCCCAGGGCTGGGAGGTCACAGCAGTATGGTGTAGCCGATGGCCATTTGGAAGTCTTTTGAAACACACCTGACTTTCTGCAGTCAGTGCTGAAGAGAGATCTTATCATCTTGGCTTTGCAGGTTAAAGTCTCATCCCCAGATACAGTTGCAAGGAGTATTAATGCTTTACTTTATTTTCTAGGCTTCCCAGAAGCAGGCTTCTTGGGCTAGGAGCCCCTTCTTCTGATGTCGGCTCCCAGCTGCAGGGGTGCCCCACACAACCCCATGGCTGGGAAACTGCAGCCACTTATCTCCCATCCATGGGGCATGCCAGGCACCCCCGGGGCTGGGAGATCACAGCAATACCTTGCAGCTGCCAGGGCTGAGAGTCCCAGCTGCACCATGTGCAGAGGCAGAGTCCCTGCAGCTGGTGGGACTCTAAGCTCCAGCAGCACCTGGCAGCTGTGGATGCTGGGGCTTGGTGGCCTGGGGACTCTGCTGTGATATCCCAGCCCTGAGGGTATGTGAAACACCCCTATGGTTGGGAGGCTACAGCAGCTGCAGTCTCTCAGCCCCAGGGGTGCATTGGGGACCCTGCTTCTGGGGGTGGTACAGCTAAGACACTCAGCCCTGGAAGCTGTGGGGTACTGCTGTGATCTCCTAGCCCTGGGGGTGCATGGCATGCCCCAAGGCTGGGAGATTACAAGTGGGGTTGTGTGGGGCACTCCTGCAGCTGAGAGCCACATCAGAAGAGGGGGCTGCCAGCCCTGGGAGCCTGCTTTTGGGAAGCTTAGAAAATGAAGTGAAAGAGTTAATACTTCTTGCAACTGTGTTTGGGGGCTTTAACCTTCAAAGCCAAGATAAGATCTCTCTGCAGTCAGTGCTGAAGAAAGTCAGGTATGTTCCAAAAGACTGGTAGGATTTCCAAATACTAAACCTAGCTAAGCAGACTGCATTTGTTGTGTAACAAAATGATAATGCTGAGGCTCTATTTGGTTTGTGGGAATGCATGCTACTTTGAAATCTGTTTCAAAGGCCCTGTATCTTTAAATATCCCATTTCATTAGCTTCCTCTTTAGGAAAGTCTGGATCTGGGTCTCTGAAGTTAATGTGTTAAATAAATGAATGAATGAAATAAAATAAAGCAGTAGAAAATTATACTGCTAATTTTAATGCAGGCACTGTGTGTTAGCTAGTCTTTAATTAAGAGGAAGTATGTATCTGACACAACAGACCTTGTTAATATATTAATGCAATGTTTAAGGCTAGAATTAACAAGCAATCTGAAGAAGTTTACAGATATTGGTTAAGCATTCTCAGATTTACAATTTTTCCCTCTAGAGGTGTAAGGTAACAATTCTATTAAGGTCCCATATCTTATTCCACTTACTAGATGTCTAAGCTTATGTGGCTGCTCACCCAAAATACACATCTCACCACACAAAAGTGATCTTATTCCATTCAGGGAGGCACACAGCTCTCTTGTTTTCTCAGTGTGCAGCCATATGTACCCAAGAGCATATAAACATTTAAGTAGGGATCACCTATATCAATAGGTCAATAGCAATTGCTAAGCATAGAGGGTTTTAATTCGTGTCCAACTGTGGTGGGATGAAATTTCCACTGTGTCAAAACTCAGCTCATTCCTATAAGCTGGGCTTTAGAGGGGAGATATCTACTTAGGTCTAACTGACAGGAGCATTAGGAAAAGAACCCACATTCCTTTTACTCATGAGCCTAGTGGTTTAGGCTCAAGAAGCAGTAGATGCAGTTATAGATAGAGACCTACTCAATTTGCAATTTCATGGAAATTGTAAAATAGGGCACTGTTTGTTAAATCTGCAACAAAAAAGAAACCTTACTAAAAATAAAATGCTGGTTCCCCAGTGGGAGCCAGAAGTCCTCACTGCCACACAGCCTACGGAGAGGGGAGGGAAGATGGAAGAGGGTCTGCAGGCACAAAGAGGAGCAGTCAAAATGGCTGCCACATCTGCCCCTTGCCACTGATTGGCTGAGGACTGCCTGTCCATCAATCAGCAGCAAGGGGTGTGGCCATGATGGACCACCCTTAGACAATCAGCAGTGAGTGGCAGGGCTACTGGGCCTCCCTCGATCAAGAGACATGGAGAGTCCTACTGTGATAAGCTTGTGAAAACAGCAGCCAGCCCTGCAATCTGCCCACAAAGTTGGTGCCTGCCTCCTCAATTTGGGTAGGTCCCTAGTTATAGATCCCATTCACAATGAAGGGGTTTAAATACATTTCTCAGGAAAGTCTCCTAACCACCATAGTATAGATCATGACAGCTAAGGACATCTTCTACGCTGCCTCTTAAAGTGGGTACTTCTTTAGCGCTATATGCAAGATGCAGTCTGACTCAAGTACAGTAAGGAGAAGGTATTACCTAGGGATGGTGGAAGGCTTTGGTTCTAGCTCCTGCTCCCAATGAGGATAAAAGGTATAAACAATACTGGGACAGAGGCTGAAACCTAGGGCTTTCCCCCTGCCAGGGATAGCCAGGTTTCCTCTGCCTCTTCCTCTATCAGCAGAGCAATGTGATTTTTCTCCAAAAGAACCAGGGACTCTGGTGAAGGTTATTATGTGCTTCCTAGAATAATATTAAATGCAACCCATAGGTAAGGATTGAATCTAACACCTAGGTGACTATTCTGGATGGCTCCTGTGCATGAGCAGTAATCAGTCTCATTGCCCAGGGATCTTTTAAAACCAAAATGGAGACAAACAGGCTGCTTACAGACTTAGAAAGAAAAATAACCAGAGCCTTACTTTCAGCTTGGTGCACCCCTGCACTGTGCACATCACATGCTCAGAAGAGGAACTGAGTCAGTTTGATGTGGCATTCACAGCAACTGTATAGATCGCACACTTCACCAGGGCATTTTGGTGCTTTTATCTAATAGCCGATTCAATAGGCTATTAGCCAAAAAACCCTACTAAAGTGCGCAATCTATTCAGACGCTGGGCAAGCCGGGTCAAACTGACACGGTTCCTTCTCTGGTAAACCACTGTTTTGGGGGTGTTTTTTCTCCCATGTCTGCCAGTGCCCATAATGATTCAAGGCATCTTAGGATGTTGTGGCTGCTATGCAGTGTGAGGCAGAACTTTCAGATACCCAATATTTGCATACATACCATTTAGATGTCTTAAAACTTAATTTTTCATGAGAAGGATTCCTGGACAAAGGACAAG